CTTTTAAGGGTTAGTAGCTAAAGTTGCCATTTTGGGCGCTTTATCAAAATCATCAATTTGCAGAGTTTTTAGTTAGGCATACTAGCTTACCTAAATAATCTTATGAACCTATTTATAATTATGTGTTCTATTTTTAACACGTATTACCTAAAAAATAATTGCACTTTTGTTTTACATGAATCTTTTCTGCAGAAAAGCAGGCATGTGTCAAATGTGAAGCCAGCCCTTCAAGACTCAAAATCAGATACAAAGAATTAAGAGGCAAAGGTGTTAAGTCTTTGAGGAACATTTCTGTTAAAATAGTTAAATTCTTTCATTCCCAAAACCATATTTCATTCTTACTCTAATTACATCTAATCTGTGTTCCTTAAATATCAGTAACGGAGAAAGTGGTAAAAATTTTTGTTAAAATGAAAACAGGTTTCTCATAGGTAGGTAGAAGAGTTTTCAACTCATAGATTGAAACAAATTGTAATACTTCCTTTATTCCATGCCACACCTGTTAATAAACTATTATTTAAATATTTATTCACAAAAGTTAGGTCAAATAAATATTTTGTTAGAAAATAAAGCAATAATATTTTATTACTAAGGTTTGCATATTTCTAGTTACCTCTTGACCTTCATGACAGCTGAATTTTAGTTCCCATACTCCCATATTACTTAAGACACTAAAATACTATTTTAAATTTTTTAATGAAACATAGAAAGCTTTGATAATGATCAAATAAAGATCTAACCTTAAGTAAACCTTGGTTTTAAAGTTCTCCTCTTGTTCATTTTAAGAAAGGAAACACCCAGAAGCCTGGTGTTAACGTTTCTGTTGATTGTGAAAACTGCAGCAATAAAAACTCCAACTGCTTGTCTTAAATTAAGACTTGTAGTAGTGCATGTGAGATCTGTATATTTATATTAGTTTTTATAACATTTGGAAGTTTTGTTGTCTGCTTTGATGTGTTAGTCCACTAATAAAGCAGTCAAATGCCTGGAATAAATTTTATTTATTGGAAATTCTCAAGTCAAAACTTGAAGTAATTGGTTTGTTCTACACCACATGATTCAATATTCTGAATTCCCCCAACTACCTGCTCCCAGAGCTATCTGTATTTCTAAATTCGTTTTGTTGCCAACACATAGTAACCCAGTGATTGAAAATGGCAGCTGAAGTGCTTCTACAGCATGTTAATTTTTCTCTAAGTAGTCCAATTTTGTCATCTAAATGTTGAAATATCTTCTTTTCACTGCATTTTACACCTTTAGAGATTTGCTGAATTTAGGATCACCACCATAAAATGAAGATCAATGTTTTCAAGACAATTTTTAGATTATCACTAATAATTCTAAAAGATGATATATTTTCTTCATAACACTCTGCATTCAAAGCAGACTAGTTAACAGCAACTTAAATGCAATAACAGCAATTACATCAATGTAGGTTTTTTTTTTTTAACCACTAAATTACTTCTTAGATAAGTGAAGTGATCAGATAAACGATCATAAAATGATTTGGGSGTAATGATATACAATTTGAATGGCAGTAAAAACAAAAATAAAAAACTCACCTTAATCTGAAAAAAAAAAAAGAATCACCATTCCTATTAAACTAAAGATGAAAATGTTGGGCAATTAATGATGGCTCTTCCCCATCTGAAACTGTCATATTAGAATTCATATCCAATATTAAAATTAAACCAAGGAGTCTGAATATTAGTAAATAATCCAGTCTCCAAGAAAAGAATATCAATTGCCATTCAAAGACAACCAACCCTCAAAGGTTAAACTATATAAAATATATGAACTTGCAAATCTCCAAACCTCCTATGAAATTCATTTTCATCTTTAAACTAGGTTTTAGAAAACTAATCCTTTCCTAATTGAAGATAAAAGTTATTCTCCCTTGACCCCTCTGCTCTCTATAAACTGACCTAAATGACCCAACTACTTGTTCTTACTTGTTTCTTCATTCATGGACATTGAGTTGTTAAAAGGAATTCAAACAACATAGCTTTATAAGAATGTAAAAATTACAAAGCAAATAAACCATAAATATTAACAAATATAGAACAACTTTGAGCATAATTGTTTGACAAAATACAAAAAGAAATTAAACAAAACTCAATATTGAAACAGAATTGCCTCTATTTAAATAGAATTCATAAAAAATTTGGGTCTTTATCACCTAGAAAACTTTTCCAACCTTCTACTTCCAATAGAAGTTGTGTTTTCATAAAGTTCATGTTGAGTTTTTAATTCTAAATGTCCTCCACTGGCTTTTTTCCCTACTAATTCATCAACTATTAAAGACATTTCCTTTGCATAGAATTGTCTTCATCACAAAAAAAAAAATGTTTTATAGGACTATTTAAAAACCTTTCTCATTTTACTAATATAACAAACTGAAGGCCCTAGAAAAGCATTAAGTTAGATGGAAAGGATTTCTCACTMTCTCTTCCACTAAAGGGACCCCAAAAGACAGGCAACATTGACTATCATAAAACAAAAGGTCACCCTTTTTCTAGGAACAAACCATTTATCAATAGAAAATAATTGTCTTGCCACTTGCAAGGGATCCACAGCAATAGACAATGTTTTTGGCTCACCTAATTACAAAACAGTAAAAGTTCAGAAACACAAGCCTGAATCCACCTCCCTATTTCTACCCTTTACAATTCTCATTGCCCTTTGGGCCTCTGCTTGGAAGCAAATGGAAGACAGGCTGAAGTTTTCTCAATTGAGCTGAAGCTAAGAAACCTTTGATATGCTAATAGTCCCCTTCAAACGGTAAGAATTCACACTTGCATTAATTCAAACAATTTGTGCAGAATGATGTGAAATGGCACCTCTTTTAGAGGCAACCAACAAAAGGAGAGAATTGGAATGTCTAAAGAAACTAAACAACAGAACATTTGTTCTGTTAGTATTCTTTCTATCATGCATAAATTTATTGGAGGGTGGAAGGAAAGAAAACAAAATATTCCATAACACACCTGAACTTAAGTAGAGTTTCTTATACAGTGTTTCTCAAGAATAATAAGGATACTAAATTTAAAGTTACAAAGTTAACCTTTAGCTAGGTCAAAATAGTCCCATCCAACTTGGAACGTTACCATAGGCACCCCATAAACTATTTTATTTTTCCCCTATGGATGAATATTGCTTCTGTAGTGCCTATTTTTTAAAGTTTGCCCAAGATCAAACCTGATTTGGTAAGAGATTCCCCAACAGGTAATTATTTACCAAAAGGTTGCGACTTTCTTCATTGTGCAACTTGAGGTGAGCAAAGAGCAAATTCGGTGGGACCAGTTCCAGAGAGAAACACTGACAGAGAAATGAATGAACCAACTACGTCCGTTAAACATACGCCTCTGGAGGGAAAGAAAGGAGAAGCACGCATAGTGTAAAAAATGCAGAAGAAAATCAAAGAATTGGGGGTGGAGTGAAGAGGCGACTGCCACAGAACCTGGCCTTTGTAACGGGAACCATATGGTTGGTGGCTGCAGCTCAGACGCTCCCAGGCTGCTTAGAGAAGCTGCTAAGCAGCCTGACACCTTTCAAGAAACAGGAGGAAAACATTTCCTCGGTCTGAATCTGAGACAGCACAGTTTGCATCAGGAAGAATGGAATGAGGGGGGCAAGAAAGAGGGAAAAGACAAAGGGGGAGGAGTCCCTCGAAGACCGGGAAAGGTTAAGACGGATACCGCTGGATACTGCTAGACTTGTCCCTCCAACTATGCATTTAGAGGACAAAGTAAAGGCAAAATTTAATATATATGTATATATGGAAGACATATATACGTTCCTTAGCTTCTGCTCGGCGATACTTTGACCCTAAGTGAAGATTCCAATCCAAGCCCCATAGTTCAGGGAAAGGAACAAACTTTACTGGTCCCAAGAGAGAGTCTTGCAAGCGCGCCTCCACACTGCAGGGGCGCTTTCGGGGTTTGGATTGTCCTGGTCCCTCTGCTTGGGGGTCGCCACAGTCAGTTAGCCCAAAAGTCTCCTCTTTCCTCGCGGTCTTCCCACGCCTTATTCTAGCAGCTGACTCCCAACCTGGCACCCCTATCCTACAAATCAGGCTCCTCTAGGTTTCCTACTCCAAAGGCATCCCAGGAGCCCACACCCGGTAACTTCTCCTGCAGGCCCAACGCGGTCCGCTGCTGCCCTCTCACTGCCGGTCCGGGAGGCTCTCTGCCCTCCCCGYGGCCCACCGGGTCCTTGGCTCCGCCACCCTCCCGCCCCGCCAGTCTTCCCCGGCAGCGGCTGCTAGCCGCCCCTAATCGTTGCCAGCCCCAACGCTGGCGCGGCCACATCTGGCTGCGCTTTGCTGTCATCCTCKCTTTTCCACATTACCTAACCACCTACAAGAAGAAACAACAACCCATAACAACTCCTGCAAGCCCTCCCCCACCGTCCACTTTCCCTGAACTCGCTCCCAGGGCTCAGCCTCTGCGCTCCACTTACAGACCCGGACGGGTCTGCAGGCGGGAGGGGGAGCGAGGGGGACTGCGCTCTCTCGGCCCGGCCTCGGTCCTGCACCTCCGGAACCAAGCTGCCCAGCGGAGGGCGAGTCTCACACTCCCCTCCCCATCCCGACTGTGAAAAGGCGAGTGTGGCACCTTCGGATCCCAAGCTTTTAAATTTAAAAAAAAAAAAAAAAAAAAAAAAAAAAAAGCATGTTATGGCAGCTCCATTCTACAACCCTACACCGGCCCCACATAATCCCCACCAACGACTGGTGCCTCGAAAGCATTACACTAGATCCAGGAGAAAAGGAGCAGGCTGGACCGGACTGAGAGTTCTGCGTATCGATTTCTCCGGGGAGGGAGGGGGAGAGCTGCGAGCGAGGGTCTCCCCTAGCCCGGCGGAACAGAGACAGCAGAGCCCAACTAAACCGCGGTTCCCTCCACCTCCAGCACCCACCCCCCAGGCAGGAGGCGCAAAGCAAACAGGTCTCCGAAGCCGGGCACAGAGGTAGGATTGTTCGCTCCCGCGGCTCTTACCTCGGTCTGAGAGCGTGCCCCCGGGGAGGGCCGTCTGGCACGGGGGCCGCGCGAAGGGAGAGGCGCAGAGGGCAGCAGCCGGGTGGCTGGAGAAGGCCGAAGCCCTCCGCGAGCGGGTCGCCGGCTGCGGAGTCCGCGCGGGAGGCAGCGCCGCGGCTTGCCGGCCGGACACGGCCCCACGGCTCGGCGGGTCCTCCTGCTCGGCCGCCGCTGCCGCCTCCAGCCAAGCAGCCAGCGCCGGGCGGCTCCAGGGGTTAAGTCAACATTTTCCCGCAGTTTCCCACACGCCGCTCGGCGAAAGAGGTCTTTTCACACACGCGCACGCACCCCCTGACTGCACGCTCCCTTAGTAGAAAAAAAAAAAATTCGGGAATCAGAGAGAAAGGGGTGGTGGAGGCGAAAGCCTGACWGAGGTGCACAGACTTGGGAGTCCCCTCGAAGCCGCAGCCGCGGGAGGGGCAGGCGAGTAGACGCCCGCGGCACGAGGCCAACTCAGTTTGTCAGGCAGAGCCCCTCAGCCCGCCGTCCGCACTGGCATCCCTCGCGCCGACCCTGCGGCCCGGGGCAGGAGACAGCAGCRGCCCCTCCTCACATTTCGGATCTCCCGGCCGAGGTTTGAGCGGTGGCCGCTGCACCACGAAAGGTTGAAGACGAGAACTCAGGTTCGGGGAAGCAGGGAGGATCAAGGGAGAGTCACGCCACGCACAGCAACGGAGGGGAGATGCCCCCAACAATCCCAAAGAATTCTCCGGTAAGCTCCCGATTTTGCTCCAGCACCTCTGCGTGTGTGTGAGCGGAGAGAGAGTGAGAGGGAGAGAGGGAGAGGAGAGGCACAGAGACGGGGGAGTGCGAAGTCCTGACACAGACTCTCGGAGAGGTCTGAACTGGAGTCACCTCCAGCCTCCTCCTCCTCCTCYCCACCAAATCCCCACCTACCCCCCTCCCCACCGGAGTTCGGCTAATCATATAAACATATTAGCGTGTACAGCAGCAAAGGACAAATCTCTCCCTCCTGATTTTTCCAGCAAGGGGCTTGGGCAAACTCAAAGAAGATTACAGGCAGCTAAGTACAAAACGTGGAGCAGATAATCTATAACTCATTGCCGCCCAATGGCCATTTTCCACTCCATTTGAGCAGCTGCGGCGGCAGAGCGCCCAAGGAGGGTGGGGGTGTCGGGGAGGAGCGAAGGGGACACTTACGGGCTCGAGCCTTTCGGGTTTTGGAGGCGACGGCAGAGCTGCCGCCCGAGGACAGGCCGGCCCCGGCTCCGCCGGCGGGGCGGCCGCAGGGCTGTCCGGGCGGCGGCGGCGGCGGCGGCGGCGGCGGCGGCGAGGGACGCGCGCTCACGGCCACGGAACGCGCCCGGGAGGCGGCCTGCTCAGGCTCGTGCCCCTCCCCTTCCCTCCTCACCAAGTCCGCTCGCGTCCCCCCCGCCGCAGGTCTCGGGGCTCAGCATCCAGCCTCCCCCCGCCGCCCCATCAACGCACCCATTCAACCTCTAGACGCCCCACCCCGCCCCCCCCCAAACTCCACTTACTGCGCGCCTGGTCCTCCGCGCGCTCTGCCGGCGCACGCTCTCCATCCTGTCCACACACACGCACTTTAAAAACATTTATTTTATTTCTGGAACTGGGTGAAGGGTATTCAGAAGAGTGCGACGGAGCGCAGCGCTCCAGCCTCGGAGGCTGGGCGCAGGGGGCTGGCCAGCGGCTCGGGGTCCCCCTCCCCTCTTCCTTCCAGGCCCAGGAGCTTTCTCCTTGCCTGGACTTCGGGAAAGGCGCCCAGGATGCGTCTTTTACCCACCCCGTCTCCAGGTTTTCTCTTTTCTCCACGCACCAAGCCGGAGGCCCTTAAACTTTTAGTTTCCGCAGCCCTCCTTTTGTGTGACTGCTCGGAGGAGAAAGAACGTCTGTTCGCCGCGGCTGCCTCCGTCCGGCTGCGGCGCGCAGGGGACGCTCCAGGGTTAATGCGTCTTTGATACCTGAGATTTCCGGCGCGCTCGTTAATGAAAGTTACATTTTTTWAAATTGCGATGACTTTTTCTTTGTAGTTACATTGAGCTAGCTAAACTTTGACTTTATTGACTATATTTCACAAGAGCGTTTTGTTTGTTTTTGATTAAACTCACCAGGATAAGCAACGGAAGGAAAGGAGACTACAAGGCTCTTTACTCCAAGTATATTCATAGTGCTGTTAGGTCTGTTTCCCTCGTTTCCTTACATTGAAACTGCTTTTGCTCTTGTCCTCTGACCACACTTCCTTGCCCCTCTCTGTTGGCAGTGTCAGCGGACAGCCAGGCAGAGCAAGACCCAAACTGAAGGGAACAGACCACTACAAGAAAAATCACATTGGAAAAAAAATATGAAACCCAGTTAATTGTCTTATACATACGAAGAAAATCAAATCTGGAATTTTTTTTTAAATTTTAAAATCTCTGAGCTGAAAACAAGTTTTCAGGTTTATTCATAAAACACTGATTCTACTAATGAATGAAGCCATTTGCTTTAGTTTTCAGGAAAAACTGATTTTCCAAGATTTAAAGCCTCTAGAAAAAGGATGAAACTTGATCTTCTTTGCTTTCAGAAACAATATGTACTTTTTGTTTCTGTGGGTATGTTGCAGTCATCATTCTTGAGAAATCATTCCAAACAATGTTATTAAAATGTCAACAGTAGATTGTTCAAAAGACACAATGATTCTAAATACCTATCAGCATTTTGTCACAAAGCCAGATATTTTTAATACAGAAGTTAATCCAACTATTGGTCAAGTTTGTTCTTGACTTGCATAAAATCATAAGTTAAATGTACATGTGTCCAAATAACTGGAACTTGCTCTTTTAGTCAATGCATTATATTATTTCTTAGATAACATAATTTAAATATTACCAGACACGATTCAAACTAGTCTGGGAAAAAAAAAAAAAAAGTACATTTCTGAAGACCTGGTGTAAAACCTTATAATGTACCTAAGTTTTTACATATGGCAAAATTCAAAATACAACAAATCAGACTACTTAGTTGAAAAGAAGGCAGAATTGGAATTCATAGATCTCAGATGTTATTTATATCGCAGTCCCCTTTAGCACTTATAATTAATTTATTTGGAATTATAAAACATAGTATGTCAGACTAATAATTTGATTATTCAAAAAAAATGTTGCCCCTTTCTTTTGTTCATCTTGAACATCATCTGGGCATAATTCACAAGGAGCCCCAGTGAGTGCATAGATCAATCTAATCCTATTTCCTTTTGGAAAGCAAAACTTAGGCTGAAGTTTTTATTAGTGAGCCTAGTAAGTAATCAATAGACATTTTTGCCTGAATTAAGCTGCCCATATGTTGGCTCATTTACTTATTTATTTAACTCTCCCAGAAAGAATCTAAGAACCCACTGTCTACATTTCATAGGTCTGACATTCTTTGATGTTCAGAACATAAAATGAGTCACTTCCCACTATGTTCCTAAACAGACAACAGTCACAAAAAAAGGAGACTTAGAAGGGGAAAGAACTTATCAGAAGACAGTTAAAACTATAGGGAGTGGAAAAATCCCTATGCAAATTGCAGATCTTAATGCAGTTAGATATGAATTCTAAAGAGTTCAAAGGGTTCAACACTTTTTTCCTAAGAATATAATAATTTGCTGCTTTTTTAAAATTATGTCCAAAATTATTCTTTCTTCAAGGTGTTTTAAGTATGAATCAATTTTAATTCTTTTTTTTTCTATTTATACATAATACATTTCAAATTTCTTTGTATATCCATAAAGAAAAATTGAAAGAAAGCATTCAATTATTTTGATACATTCAAAATTAAGCTGTTACCCACAAATCTGCCATTACAAAGGAACACCTAAATGACATACTCCACAGAGTATGTCCACATCCCCAAAACATAGTTTACCTGACACTTCATGACAATTCAAAACATAATTTATAACAATACAGGTGTTATGGTAAGGGAAAAAAAAACAAGAAACTTAATAATATCTGCAGATGTGAGCAAGTTAAGGAAAGTTAGAATATGTTCTGCATTCCCTACAATCCAATCAATTTAACTACTCAATCTAAATTATTATTTAAGTAATGGCAAAATCATTGACTTATTCATAATACTTGCTAATTGTTTTAAAAAATAAATCTACAAAGGACAAAGGAAACACCCATTTCCATTTGTTTTATGTTAAATCAACATCTAACCACTCATGGTGATTTCATTCAAAGAAAACAGAAGGAACTCATTAGCTTATGTGGTTAGAGAGATTGATGGGCTTCAAGCATTTTAACCATACATGTTTTTTCCAACTGTAGAAACTCGTGTTTTTAATTTAAGCAACTTGAAGAAACTAAAGATTATTTTATTCAATGAGCTTATGTATTTCTGATATAGATAGTATGCTAATTTTTAAATTTATTTACCCTCCAACTATCTTTATTTAAAGGGAAGTAATCAGGTATTTGTCAAAACAGAACATGAATAATAGTAGTTTAGGAAACCAATTAAAGAACCTAAAGTAGTTTGGAGATGGACATTATTGCAAAATACTGTGATTAGAGTAAGTCAACAAAATGGTAGCTTCTTTACACTAGCAAACTTAGATATATACAAGCCCGTGRTCTAAAAAGGGGCTGCTCAGTGGTGGGATGAAGAAAAGATATTGGGAATTGACCAAGGGTGGAAAATTTCCAAGAAGTTTGAACTACATAGATGTTGAGAAGTATCAATGAGGGAAGATTGTGTCTATTTGAGGGAGCATAGTTTTGTCTGTGATTAGAGCTTGTAAAAGTTTTCAAAAGAAGCAAACACCAAACAACAATAACAACAAGAAGAACAAAGTAAAATTACTCTACACTCTAATTCAGAAATAGAAGTAAAATCAACTAATTTTATCCTAATTTTATATCCTAAATTTAACTCAGGTCCCTTTTCTTCCTCATTACTGTTTGATAACACTTGGTAGTGAAACTAGTTTTCCCTACTCTAGAAAATGAACTATTTTAAAGGTCTAGAGCAGATCAAAGCAATATATGAATACCAAACTCAACTAGAACTGGTTGGAAGTTGCTAGCTTTGTTTTTCATTTTAGCTTTACCACACATGCAGGCTGAAAAGAAATAAAAACTCATTTTCCATGAGAGCAGAAACATATGAAAGCATTTGGCAATACCAGAAAGTTTTTAACTATTCTCCCAGCTCTCCAGGCTGAGTAAATTTTGTCCAAGGTCAAACTTTACCCAAAATGTAGAGGTGTAGTCATAAAAGTACAGATAATTTAAAGTATAGTATACATATGATTATGGTTTGCTGTCCTTAAGGACATCGTTTATAAATATATAATCACACATACTATTAATAGTCATCATTTTGTAATTAATACTTTTTTAAAATATCTACCACTACAACTGGCTACATGACATTTTCTGTGTTTCAAGTGTTTAAATATGTATAATTGTATATAAAACATAATTTTATACAATTACAATTATGATACTCAAAAGCAGGCAAATTTAAAAAGATATCCCTCATAATCATGACTATGATTATTTTTTGTTATGCAGAGTTTTGCACAAACTTTGAATTAGTCTTTCCCATAGATTGTTCCCATAACTCTTGTTAATCTCTACACCTTGAGGATTTTCTATAATTGGGTCTTATAGATCTTCTTCTATCAATGCTCTGTCAAACCAAGAAATGTAACTGTAAGAACGTTTTTTATAAAAGCTATTTATACTAATTTACAATCATTATTTTGTTCATGATAAATGCTCATAATCAAA